CAACACGTTGGAAAGTACCACCGAGAATATCGTTTGCTCGCGTGTGTGTTGGTCTATTGACTGAACACAATGGGAACAATTTATGTTTTTAAAAATTGTCCAAAACTTGGCTTACATTTATGGCATATCTAAACGTACTTTCATTTTAATTTCAGACCAATGGAGCCAATGGTTTTGACCAAATCTTATATCCAGTTAAAAAGTGAGGTCACTCTCGGCTGAGCGAAGGGTTTAAAAAGAGTTTGGGAATTTCTGTGTTCATGTGAAGCATCCTCACAAGGTAATTATATCATCATTAAGCAACTAATGAAGAGTCTAACGTTATTTTTGGGGTTTAAATTGCCGCTTTTCTAAATTTTCAAGCTAAATTGGTGGCTCATATGCAGCAAGTTGGCGCTATGATAGAGATTCGCAGTTCGTCCAGATGTCATGGTATGATGATTGTTGAAACAAAAAAGTAATAAATTACTAATCTTTGATAATGTATTTTGCAAGGAATTACATGTTCCAGATGCTTTGCGATCCAATGTGTTGTGCAGTATAACCCTGAAGCCATTGCGTGCGCTTGTATTTTTTTAAAGCGCCGAAATTAAAGATTCCCCTTCCTTCAAGTCCATCCTGGTATAGGTTTGTATTTGAATGTGGAGGAAGAGCACATACTAGATATTATTGAAAACAATCGCTGAACTGTATCAAACGACCCAAGGGTAAGTTTTGCCACTATAACCATAGACATGCTAATTACTATAAATTAATTAAGCATCAATCATTGTTGCCCAACATTATTTTTGCTAAATTTTGCAGATTGACTATGATGTGTTTATGAAGAAAGTATAAAGCTCAGGACAGCATTCAAGGAGTCCAGGACAAAGCCAGGCATTACAATTGCTGACAAGCTTGCACAAGGTTCCAATGGATGCTAATTCGAGTCCTGCGTCCCTCCCAACGTCACCAAGCCCGCAGCGAACGATCATCAAGTAGTGCTGTCCAGAAATAATAAAGAAGGCAATGATCACAAAAGAGGAAAACTTGAATGCGGCGATCATTACAAAAAGCTCCAAATTCACCACAGTGAGTACCAAAGTTTTAGAGTCATACACGACTTCTTCTCCAACGCCAACAGACTTGACATTCATTCCCAACTGCTTTTCCAACCACATCCCAAACGCCTCATCAGCCCTGGTAAAGAAACGCTGAATCACAATGTGGCCTGTAATTTTCTCCAAATCCGCCAGTTTCCCAGCGTACGCGGGTGGCACGAGTGTGTCAGCATTTCGTCAGGGAAAAGTTGCACTGAATTGTTGGGTGTGGTGGGTGTCATGCAGGTGAAAGCATCTCTACTCATGAGTTCTGCGTCCACAAACGTCTCTTCGTCCACTGACAGGATTTGGGTACATCGTTGTCGTCCTCGTTCTCAAAGTCGGTGGAGGTTGCGGTTTGAAGATCGGTTTGGGTGTGGGTGGAGACTGTAGATTGGTGAGAATTAGTTGACGACTCGCTCATCGTGCTCGTGATGTGGGAGTAGATGTGCCGGATTTTGGCGTTCACCTTTACCGGATGAGACATGAATTTGTCTCCTCGGTTCACAGAAAATCTGGAAAGTATGCGGAAATGACAAAATTACATTACTATTCGATTGCGTATTTATTCTATAATATGCATATAATTTTTCCCTCCTTTCTTTCGGATTACACACATAAATATGTGTGTCAAATAGAATTAATCTGTTCTGAGGGCATTGCATACGAACTTGGAGTTAAAAACGGATATAATATTATTACGATTATTACCGTTTTGAACCGGTGGCAGTGGTTGCGGCGGCTGGAGGCGACTTCCCCATTATTGTCTTATTCAATTTATCTAATGGGAATTGGCGGTAGGAGGTGGATGGAAAGCCGACTGCTGACCTGCAATTATGGATTATTTGGAATTGGATCCGCTAATATATTATGTGAACTTTCCAATACTGTACACACAACGTCAAACAAGACCGATGAAAACTGTGTGTCGATATCCTACGAACCAATCAACTTTGCCTGTGCCCATTTCTCCTCTCTTCAATTATGTGTATGTGCTACAAAAAATATACTTAATTCCTGCGTCCTAGTGAATTAGTAATTATGAGAGTGAAGTTGTGCTCAATAAGGATTTTTCAACCTACAAGGATTTACACATTTGTAATCCCGAAAACAAAACGGACTTGAGAACAGTGGATCGAGTGTTTAATCAATGTACACTGTGAAAGTTTAATCGATATACTAATAGCAACTCAGGCATTCCATTCTTTTGACATATCTAAAGTTTTTGCTCCTAGACTTGGTCCCCATGCAATGCGTGGTACGTGTTTACTTTGTCAATATTTGCCATGAAACAATCGCACAAACAAGGAGAGTAAGCAGTTACGCAAAAGCGCTCGTGTTATACATCGTAAATATTTCGGTTAGAGGAGTGAAAGCTCAAATGCACGTTTCATTAAATTCACAGTTCCTCCATGTGCTCAACTGGTGTCCTTCCTCTCCTGCTTGATTCTAGAGTACTACAAAAAAGGCAAGATTGCAAAATATACAGTGCCCACAGCAATTTAAGTTGTATGAACTCTCATCACTGATACCGTGTCTACGCACTTATGTGGTTTCTAACTGCGCCAACTTTCACCCACGTTGGGCACAGGTCACGCAACCACCCATTAAGGAACCATTATTTGGACAATGGCAAATGAAACGAATGTTTTTGCGTGCATTGTCACCACTCCACCAAAAACGAGGTTTGAGCAAGGGGTACAAAGGTTTGGAACAAAAGAGGAACAATTGGAACGATATAAAGCCGATCGGTACTACTCACAGCCTTGTGCAGCCGGGGCCGAGATCACGGAAGCTGGGTTTGATGATGGAGGGGCAGCCCAATTGTTCCACGTAGTACTTTTTGGACCCGACTTTCTCGGGACCGGAAACGTGTAGAAAAGGGAGAGGAGACGGAACTGACCAGCAACGTTTGTCGCCCTCGTCCCGTCTCTGGCTGGAACTGGTCGTCGTCGTCGGTTCGTTCAGCTTTCTCCATCGTCGTGTTGCTTAATCGGAGAGAGAACTAATCCAGCCTGCCCTCCTCATGTCACGCATCCATCCATCCATCCACCCCTAGTCACCCACATCAATTCCCCCTTCCGAAAAAATGTTGCATGCCGTTGTGAATTACTCCCGTGCTGCTAGCACTGCTCAAACGGCAGCAGGATTTTTTATATGCTGCACGTTTTCTCCTCCACGTTACACGACTTGCAAGAGCTGCAAATAAATATTGCAATCAATATATGTTTAGATGTATGTAGGCGAAGGCTGGCGTCGTGCAGTTACGTTTTGTTGGGAAACTTTGGTCTCCTTTTTGGTAATTTATTTCTCCGAGATATTATTAATAAGTATGATTTGCATGATGACATGCAGGAAAGTCATATAATTGAGAAATTGGCTTCTGATGGGACTTTCGACTATGTTCCATAAATCATGAGACAAATTACCTTTGTTGGTGGTCAATCAGTGCAACTAACATTGCGTAGAGAGGACAGAGGAACAAGCCACGAGGGAGTACTTTCACCGTAGCCTTTTCAACTTATTCCTGTTTCTAGAATGAACTAGAATTGCGACACTGAGAGGGGAGGTTGTGTACTATCAACTCCCGGATCTCGATGCCCTTTGGATATGTGTAGTGTCCCATGAATGAACAAGAACCCTGAAGTGGTTTAATGCCATGGCCACATTTGCGCCCGCCACACCCACTCAAAGGTGCCCAAAAATCGCTTTCACTCTAGCTTTCACTCATTCAAATAACGCCAAAAATCCAATTTTACTCGATTTTAAATTTATTTCACCATTATACTCCCAGATAGTTGCTCTCTTATATCAACATCAAATCAACTTTTTGAATTTCTTAGTATTTTTAAAATTTAAAATTCTGAATGAGCATTGTTGTGAAATCAACAAAAAAATTATTCTGCGAGATAATCATCAAAAAAGTTGAGTTTGATGCTGTATATAAGAGAGCAACTATCTGGGAGTATAATGGTGAAATAAATTTAAAATCGGAGTAAAATTGGATTTTTGGCGTTATTTTGAATGAGTGAAAGCTAGAGTGAAAGCGATTTTTGGGCACCTTTGAGTGGGTGTGGCGGGCGCAAATGTGGCCATGGCATTAAACCACTTCAGGGTTTTGTTCATTCATGGGACACTACACATATCCAAAGGGCATCGAGATCCGGGAGTTGATAGTACACAACCTCCCCTCCTCAGTGTCGCAATTCTAGTTCCATTCTAGAAACAGGAATAAGTTGAAAAGGCTACGGTGAAAGTACTCCCTCGTGGCTTGTTCCTCTGTCCTCTCTACGCTATGTTAGTTGCACTGATTGACCACCAACAAAGGTAATTTGTCTCATGATTTTATGGAACATAGTCGAAAGTCCCATCAGAAGCCAATTTCTCAAATTATATGACTTTCCTGCATGTCATCATGCAAATCATACTTATTAATAATATCTCGGAGAAAATAAATTACCAAAAAGGAGACCAAAGTTTCCCACAAAACGTAACTGCACGACGCCAGCCTTCGCCTACATACATCTAAACATATATTGATTGCAATATTTATTTGCAGCTCTTGCAAGTCGTGTAACGTGGAGGAGAAAACGTGCAGCATATAAAAAATCCTGCTGCCGTTTGAGCAGTGCTAGCAGCACGGGAGTAATTCACAACGGCATGCAACATTTTTTCGGAAGGGGGAATTGATGTGGGTGATAGGGGTGGATGGATGGATGGATGCGTGACATGAGGAGGGCAGGCTGGATTAGTTCTCTCTCCGATTAAGCAACACGACGATGGAGAAAGCTGAACGAACCGACGACGACGACCAGTTCCAGCCAGAGACGGGACGAGGGCGACAAACGTTGCTGGTCAGTTCCGTCTCCTCTCCGCTTTTCTACACCGTTTCCGGTCCCGAGAAAGTCGGTCCAAAAAGTACTACGTGGAACAATTGGGCTGCCCCTCCATCATCAAACCCAGCTTCCGTGATCTCGGCCCCGGCTGCACAAGGCTGTGAGTAGTACCGATCGGCTTTATATCGTTCCAATTGTTCCTCTTTTGTTCCAAACCTTTGTACCCCTTGCTCAAACCTCGTTTTTGGTGGAGTGGTGACAATGCACGCAAAAACATTCGTTTCATTTGCCATTGTCCAAATAATGGTTCCTTAATGGGTGGTTGCGTGACCTGTGCCCAACGTGGGTGAAAGTTGGCGCAGTTAGAAACCACATAAGTGCGTAGACACGGTATCAGTGATGAGAGTTCATACAACTTAAATTGCTGTGGGCACTGTATATTTTGCAATCTTGCCTTTTTTGTAGTACTCTAGAATCAAGCAGGAGAGGAAGGACACCAGTTGAGCACATGGAGGAACTGTGAATTTAATGAAACGTGCATTTGAGCTTTCACTCCTCTAACCGAAATATTTACGATGTATAACACGAGCGCTTTTGCGTAACTGCTTACTCTCCTTGTTTGTGCGATTGTTTCATGGCAAATATTGACAAAGTAAACACGTACCACGCATTGCATGGGGACCCAAGTCTAGGAGCAAAAACTTTAGATATGTCAAAAGAATGGAATGCCTGAGTTGCTATTTAGTATATCGATTAAACTTTCACAGTGTACATTGATTAAACACTCGATCCACTGTTCTCAAGTCCTGTTTTGTTTTCGGGATTACAAATGTGTAAAATCCTTGTAGGTTGAAAAATCCCTTATTGAGCACAACTTCACTCTCATCAATTACTAATTCACTAGTGACGCAGGAATTAAGTATATTTTTTGTAGCACATACACATAATTGAAGAGAGGAGAAATGGGCACAGGCCAAAGTTGATTGGTTTCGTAGGATATCGACACACAGTTTTCATCGGTCTTGTTTGACGTTGTGTGTACAGTATTGGAAAGTTCCACATAATATATTAGCGGATCCAATTCCAAATAATCCATAATTGCAGGTCAGCAGTCGGCTTTCCATCCACCTCCTACCGCCAATTCCCATTAGATAAATTGAATAAGACAATAATGGGGAAGTCGCCTCCAGCCGCCGCAACCACTGCCACCGGTTCAAAACGGTAATAATCGTAATAATATTATATCCGTTTTTAACTCCCAAGTTCGTATGCAATGCCCTCAGAACAGATTAATTCTATTTGACACACATATTTATGTGTGTAATCCGAAAGAAAGGAGGGAAAATTATATGCATATTATAGAATAAATACGCAATCGAATAGTAATGTAATTTTGTCATTTCCGCATACTTTCCAGATTTTCTGTGAACCGAGGAGACAAATTCATGTCTCATCCGGTAAAGGTGAACGCCAAAATCCGGCACATCTACTCCCACATCACGAGCACGATGAGCGAGTCGTCAACTAATTCTCACAATCTACAGTCTCCACCCACACCCAAACCGATCTTCAAACCGCAACCTCCACCGACTTTGAGAACGAGGACGACAACGATGTACCCCAAATCCTGTCAGTGGACGAAGAGACGTTTGTGGACGCAGAACTCATGAGTAGAGATGCTTTCACCTGCATGACACCCCCACCCACACCCAACAATTCAGTGCAACTTTTCCCTGACGAAATGCTGACACACTCCGGTGCCACCCGCGTACGCTGGGAAACTGGCGGATTTGGAGAAAATTACAGGCCACATTGTGATTCAGCGTTTCTTTACCAGGGCTGATGAGGCGTTGGGATGTGGTTGGAAAAGCAGTTGGGAATGAATGTCAAGTCTGTTGGCGTTGGAGAAGAAGTCGTGTATGACTCCTCGTCTCCTGCCGACGCTGTCCACCCAAACATGGACAAATATGAGACGAGCAGGATTTCCAGTGCAAAGAAGTTGAGAGAAAGTAGGATTCTGGAAAAAATTATCGAAGTTGATGATATTTTGGCTGGAGAGGAAGTCGTTCATCACTCGGAAGGTGTACCCTTGTTGGACTGGCAGAAAGCAATTTGGATCCAGAAGTAGCTGAGTGCAGTATTGAAGACAGCGTGAGGTGCGAATGTTTCGCAGATGAGTTCAGCGAAAAATTATAGAGCAAGTAGAAGAAGAAGGCCATGAACAAGTCAGTCTTATCTCTGGCAAGACCATCACCAACAGTAAGGAGTTGACCAATATCGAAGAAGAGGAAATTATTAGTCAGTGCATTGCAGTTGAAATTATACGTGGCAAATTGAAGGATGAGCAATTAGAGACTGAACTGAGATTAGGAGGACGACAAGACAGCCTGGATGACATCATAACACAGCACTCAGTTGTGGATAATAATAATTTCGACAAAAATGAAATCTCAAGTACCACAAATGATAGACCATGCATTCCTGATGTCATTGATGTTTCCCAGTTCTACAACACCAATAGCAGCAATTCAGTCCCTCAACAACTTTCACAGTGTGAAACCGAAACGAACGAGGATTCTGAGGATTTGAAAACTGTCATTTCGAACCATCCATGACTGAGAGTCAGTTGGAATCACAGCATAAAGTGGCGGAATATTTGGGCAAGTTGGAAATGTCGTCCCCCACCATCCACGACGCATCCACTTCTGCCAACTCCATCAACTCCGAACTTGACAAGGATGACAACTTGGATGGGGAGGACCTCACTTCGTCTGATGTCATCAAAAGGAGTGTCTCCGTTGACAGCTGCATTGGAACAGAGTCCAGTGGTGAGAGAACCGCGTTTAATGATTCAGGAATCCTGTTGGACTCGGCCAGGTTGGACATGGATATTCCGGAAGAAATTGAGGTAATTTTCGTCGCTGACCACAACAATGACAAGATTGCGTCGTCGGAAGGACTAGAGGACGTACACTCTCAAGAAACGGTTCAAGAAACGTTGGAGCCAGAGGAAGTCTCACCAGCTTCGGTTGTTGCAGTGTCTAAACTTACGTCCTCCTCAGCAGTAGTCCTGAGCAACTCTCAATCTGTGGACGATAGCACAAACTACTCTCGATCCGATGGAGTTCAGCACTGAAACATACCATAAGCGATGAAGGGGCGATGCTGATCAGTCTGAATCCAACTCTGACTCTGAGTTCAATTCTCTCCGAAAACCTTTGGAAGACACTGCCACGGAATTAGACGATCCAATAAGTGCCGTCATGGTGGATGATGATGATGATGATGGAGAAGGCTCTGCTCAGGATCTTGAGCTTGATCAGTTTGACACAATAATTGAGAATCACGAAAAGGAGAAAAGACTCCGTCCAATTTTCCGGAAGAGAAATGTGTCCACGCAAACTTCAAAGTCCGTCGAGTCTTCGACAGTGTCCTGCACGACGGAGAGCCGATCCACCACGGCCACAACCACTGCGTCGTCCGCATCCTCATTTGATCTTGAGTTTATTTCCAAAACTAAGAAATATATTTCTCACATTCCTTCGTCATCAAAACATCAGCATGAGCAATCTTCTGAGACCTATGCGACGACTGCTGCTGCTGCTGCTTCTGCTGGAGGAGAGGACGTGGAATTGGGAAGGAAACATCGATCCTATTTGCCAACAGGATCCAGCGGTCTCAATATTCTAAACATGAGGTTTACCATGGGTCGAGAATTTGAGTCCGAGGTGAGCATTCGCATCCCCCACCAAAATCCCCACCGGCTCCATCTCGTCTTCCACGTCCTTCAACTACCTTCAAAACCTCCCCAACACCATCATTCCTCCTCCTCCACTTCCAGCAAGGCTTACAAATCTAGCAATAAATTCCACACCACTCATTCTCAGACCACATCACAGCTACCAGTCATTGGGGGCAAGTCCACATCGCATAGCACGGAAAGGCCATCTCGTAATGTGCTCGGGGGTGCGCCACTGAAACTTGTCCCCTCCAGCAGATCCAGAATTACGTAGTTTATGGAAAGACGTAAAGTCCAAGATGGAGAGCCGCGTGCCAGAGACGGCTGATCATCTTGAGGTAACCGGAAGTAGAATCAAGTTGGTGTCCTCCTCGTCTGCAGAAACGACGACGACGACAACATCCACTGCCCTCCATCAACAGATAGCGCAGCATCGCCCTGCTGGTAGTGATGGTCACAAGGATCTTGAAACGAAGCTCCCCGTTTTGATCAGTGCGAATGAGCAGGAGAAACTTAAACGTTCTCTCCAACGGTTGAAAAGAATATTGGACGACGACTGAGTGGCCAATTAAAATTACAAATAATGAATAATTATTATGCCAATTTCAATCAAGCAATAAATCCATAAATTCATTTTATGTCTCGTGCACACTTTCTCATTGCATGATTTTCATGTCGCTATGTGTATGAAATTTGCATATGTACTTACTTGTTACCCGATAGATTTACTAATAAGAAAACGAATGCATTTATTCGTCATCGGTTAAACCATGAGCATGGTCCTGGCAGAAGAATGAGAGAAAGCAGCTTTGAGTCTTTGAGACAAAAGGGGAAGAAAGGAGAAAGTGAAGAAAGTTGTCGCACTTTTCCCAGGAGGAGCGTTTACGCTCTCGCTATTTACTATTTACCTTGCAACCCAACCAAGTCAAACCAGTCAAACTTTGAATTGACAATTTTTTTAAATTTCAACAATTTTTAGCCATCTCTCGTTTATCAAGGACTTTGAATCTTTAGTGCACCCGATCACGGAGTTCTGGGAACTCTGACCAAGAAAGGTGAAAGGTATTGTTCGTATAAACAAATTGCGTGCTTGTTGTTATTGATTGGCATTGTAGATTAGTTTGACAAGTTTAAAAGTGCAATCCAAGATGAAAAATGTTTATAATGTTTTCAGATCTGACAATTTTGACTGAGTATACTGAAGCTTAATCCCGTCAACCAATGGAGTTCCGTCTTGGACTGCTGCAAAACGAAATTGAGCACCTCAACAAAAATATGGGGTATTAAATAATTATTATTCAGTAATTATGCAATCATTTATAAATTATAAACACAGGCTAATGTCAGAAGAATTGATTGTCCTCAAAGAATTCATTCGTCAAGAATTCGGTGAGCTTGAGATATTGCCTCAAAATATAATTACAATTACTCAGGATCTAAAACTGTTTCTTTCGAAAATTATATCAGCTACTAGTTTTGAAGCGTTCAACAACGCAAGGAAAGATAAGCACAGACATCACCATCATAAAATTGCTGCAGAACCATCATCCTCGCATCATAAACAACCTGCATTTCCCGAAATAATAAAAAGTACGACATACTCCGGAGGATGTTCCACAATTTCTAATGGATATAGAGCTAAATTGATGATTGATGTGTTCCAGATGAACCAGCGCTGGACGCATATTATGACGAAAATGACGCTGAATTGGATAATATTGATGAAGATGTGGTGGTGGAGGTGATAGCGATTTTGAATGTGAGCAAACTAATCTATTTGATACCAAGTAGTATTTGTGATACCGTATTTGATTAAACGTTTATGGAAATAATGAGGAATAAGAATAATTGTTAAGTATTCAATTATTTTGCTTTGCAGTTTATCCAATAAACGAATCCTTCTGTCCCGACGTTGATCCTTTGCAAACCAGTCCCAACAACAGTCCGATCAGGAAAGGAAAACCAAAGGCCCAAATCCACAAATACTTTGAGCATATTTCGATGCCCGATGGAAAAGTGCGTACAAAATGTTTCACATGTCAGGAATATGTTTCCAATCAAGCACAAAGGTTAAAGAAACATTTTGAGAGATGCAGTGGAAAACTAAACATGGACAGCAAAGGTAAAGGTTATAACTTAATATTGGATTAACATTATCAATATAACTTGCTATAACTTAACATTGCCAAAAGTTATCAAGAGAATTACAACAATTGGCTATAAAAGGCCATCTGGGTCATCTGAGAATCCAACAAAAGTGGGAAGAAAATTGGACAGAGTTCGAGAGTTATTCGAAGAACTTCACGACAAAAGTGGATTTATTAAAATGAAATGCCTAAGTTGTGGTCATCTTTCAAGTAATCAAGCTAGCCGGATGAAAAAACACGTTGAAAAATGTGAAGGCCTTGCCAACATTGATCAGCACCGGATATTTACACCATCCGAAAACCATAAAGCATATATTAAACCTTCCACAGTTCCGTCAAGCTCATCAAACATGCAATTGTCTCAAACCATAGAACCCTCACCCCCTCTTGCATCCCATGAAAATGCTACTGTTGCTGTTAATTCAAATCATCTCAATTCTTCTTCGACTAGTGAATCATATTATAAAGGAGAAGAGATCTCACAAGTTATCACTCCGTCGCCATCTCACCCCAGTCAGTATCAGATGGACAACAATCTGGAACTCTAGATGAAACGGGGCATCATCATCAAGATGCCAATTCTCATTGTGAGATTACGTCTCCTCCTCCTCACCATCCTCGATGAAAATCATCACGCGTCTCGATCTTATCTTGATTAATTATTTATTAGTAATAGTTGTAAATGACAAAGTTGACAAAGGTTGTTTCGTACTTTCGTAATCTCTTTTCGTGAGACAAATACTTATGTATGCAGTGTGTGTTTTTAAGTATTATTATGTTTGATTTTGTGTGTATAGCCTTATGAGCTGATGCTGTATGATGCTTAATGGGTGTGATTTTACTTTTGTAATGGTCTGCTTATCATCATCATTAATTTCATTCCTGATGATGTATGCATGCGTGCATGATTTTGATTTTGAATAGCTACAAATACATTGAAAGCTTGAATAAAATTATTGTTGAAATACTCACATGTTCCTAGAATTAATATCTCATTGGCGCAACTGGGGACATTTCATAAGATGTTCCCCCAGCTATTTATACCCTCATGTTGTATGTACTTGTGTGTAATTTCTCTTCTCACAAAATGGTAAATTTCTGGAGGAAGCTGTTCGTGGGGCAAAATGAGAACGAGGCTGCCGCTGGAAAGATGAGATTGCGTGACTCTGGCGAACGCCATCATTCAAAGCTCTCTGTCGTCGTCTGTTATTTGGTTGCTCCAGCACCGACCCTCTTGACATCACATTTAATTTTAATTTCTATGAACGCATAGTTTGAAAACTCATCACAATTAAAATATCCCAGCCTGTGAGTAGAGCTACGAGCTTCCAGGCACAAAACCTCGATTGTTGAAAATCTACACGAGTTTGGCGACAGTTTAGTAGCAAAGTGAAAGCTATCATCAGTAAATAAAGATCGTTTTGTTTTACGGGTTATCACAGTTAACTCTGCCCTGCGTGCAACCTAGATGCGGCGTGGCTGCAGAAAAGTTCCGACTTGTCGAATGGTACAAGTAAGTTGATTTTTATGTACACAATTAATTTCGCCAATTACATGCTTCATCTTGCTCAGTGTTGGTTGAGTAATATACAAAACGAACCGTTTTAATTTTTTCAGATTCTATGACGTCGTGAAACAGGTGTGGGCCATCTTCTTTAGCCTTTAGTATATATATTTTTTAAACCTTGAATAGTTTTGAAAGTAAATTTGAAAGCCAAACTTCAAATTTTATCAAAGCCAAATACAAGTCGGCTGAGAGACACTCAGAATAAGGTGGCACTAGGCCAGAGCCCATTGTTGTAAACATGAGTATAACGACAATAAGTGGAAGTATAGGTTTGCGAGTAGGAGATGGACGGGACATTGTCGGGGTCTCTAGGACTTCTAATACTTCGTCAGCCGTGGGACGAGAAAGAGGAACGACATCATCGGGCGGATCTAGAAGCCAATCACAAAATAATAACAATCATCACGGTAAAGACTACTCTAGAGGGATGGGAGGAGATTCTGCCAAACTTAACCTCCCCCCAACACCGGGTGGAGGGGGAGCGTCAAACTCATCGACTGGAGGAGGAGGAGGAGTCGGGTCTGGTAATGTGACAGAGCCTTCAACATCGTCCGCACCCACAAATTATCCCAAAATTTACGGAAAGATTGTACTCACCTCGGACAATGTTCTCCTGGACAAGAACAAGTGTGGAGAAACTCCTTCTGCAACCGATGGCATGGACGAAGACATTGAATGGGAGACTCGAGTTGTTGCCTGTGAACTTATTTCATCTTCTGGGATACTTTTAAAACTTCCTCAGGTAAGCCATTCTAAGGGCTTTACATATTATTACTATGCTGTAAATGTATGAATGAGCAATATCTCATGTAGACGATATTTTAATATCTATATCCATTCATTTTTGCATGTTTTAGACGGCAATGGCTACGGGACAAGTTTTATTTCACCGATTCTACTATACCAAATCCTTCCTACGTCAAGATATGGAACAAACTGCGATGGCTTGTATATATCTTGCTTCGAAAATTGAAGAAGCTCCACGAAGAATACGCGACATTATTAACGTATTTCATCATCTGCAGCAACTTCGGAGTGGAAAGTAAGCTACTACTACTTATTTATTGCTCTTCACACATTTTGTTTCCTTATTACAAGATTGTTGAGCGGTCATTACAGAAACTATTATTAATTTTAGGCTGATCGATATTTGGACATGTGAGTTACGCTCGCAGTCGTCCTGTGCGTTCAACGGATTCATCCGGTATTCTGTTCCAGGAAATTCAATTGACAGTGTAGTGACGCATTCACGATCAACTTAACTTTTAAAATATGCATAACTTTTGATTACTTCACTTATCGTTGAGGTGGAGGTCAGTGGTCATATTTAAATGAAGTTACTATCTTTGCTGACCTGATTAGGACCACCACCTCGACTGTAACTGAATCCCAAGCCATGACTTTATTTACATAGTTATTAGCTATATTGTCTAATTTACGTCTAAAGCTATTTGCAGTTTTGAGCCACCAATTGAGGAATGAAACGTTCATCGTCAGCTGGGAACCAATTCCTGTTCGTACCGTTTAATTTACGAGCTAAATTAGTTTTCTGTCCGTCTATAACTTATGATTTCCTCAAGTTTTATTCTTACAACGCGATTTCGTCAATCCCGACAAGGCTTATTTGCTCAATTATACTATCAGACGATATATAATAACCTTATATCATAACGTGGTTTGCCAAAATGCTTACTAAATGACTCCAATTTAGAATTAGGAATTGATTCACAAACGTTTCTGCATGATGCATAAATTATTGTAATCAGAATGGGTTTAGCATAGGTTGCACAGGTATTATTCTTTTAATTTGACTAGTAATTGACACTCGACGTCGACAAATAACACCAACACGTTGGAAAGTACCACCGGATGAATTCGTTGCTCGCGTGTGTGTTGGTCTTTGACTGAACCAATGGGAACAATTTATGTTTTTAATTGTCAAACTTGGCTTACATTTATGGCATATCTAAACGTACTTCATTAATTTCAGAACAATGGAGCCAATGGTTTTGGACCAATCTTATATCCAGTTAAAAAGTGAGGTCACTCTCGCTGAGCGAAGGGTTTTAAAAGAGTTGGGATTTTGTGTTCATGTGAAGCATCCTCACAAGGTAATTATCATCATTCATTAAGAACTAAATTTGAAGAGTCTACGTTATTTTTGGGGTTTAAATTGCGCTTTTCTTAATTTCAGCTAATTGTGGTCTATATGCAGCAGTTGGGCTATGATAGAGATTCGCAGTTCGTCCAGATGTCATGGTATGATGATTGTTGAAACTAAGAAAAGTAATAATTACTAATCTTTGATAATTATTTGCAGGAATTACATGTCAGATGCTTTGCGATCCAATGTGTTTGTGCAGTATAAACCTGAAGCCATTGCGTGCGCTTGTATTTTTTTAAGCGCCAGGAAATTAAAGATTCCCCTTCCTTCAAGTCCATCCTGGTATATTGTATTTGATGTGGAGGAAGAGCACATACTAGATATTTGTGAAACAATCCTTGAACTGTATCAACGACCAAGGGTAAGTTTGCCACTATACATAGACATGCTAATTACTATAAATTATTAGCATCATCATTGTTGCCAACTTATTTTTGCTATTTTGCAGATTGACTATGATGTGTTTATGAAGAAGTATAAAGGCCTCAGGAAAGCATTCAAGGAGTCCAAGGACAAAGCCAAGGCAATTACAATTGCTGACAAGCTTGCACAAGGTTCCAATGATGCTAATTCGAGTCCTGCGTCCCTTCCAACGTCACCCAAGCCCGGCAGCGAAGGATCATCAAGTAGTGCTGTCCAGAATAATAAAGAAGGCAATGATCACAAGAGGAAACTTGATGCTGGCGATCATGTACAAAAAGCTCCAAATTCACCACAGTGAGTAACCAAAGTTTATTAGAAGTGTAAATACACATTTATGAAAATAATTAAATCTATACTTTATTTTCCTTTGTATAGGCCAAAGAAATCGCGCCGGACTCCTTCCCCAATTACTTTTGACGATAGCCCACAAAGGCATAACAAAAAGAACAAGAAGCGAAGAAAATCAAGGTATCCTAAAATTTATAACTATCCACGTGAAATAATATTTACATATATATAATTCCGTATTCTCTGCACATTTGCTTTGCTTATATTTAAAAATACATTTAATTTTTTGTATCTTAGGTCCGATTCCAGCTCTAGATCACGCTCGCGAGAAAGAAGATCACTAAAGAAACACTCACGCCGAGAAAAGTCTCGAAGTCGGAGTAGAAGTCGTTCATACTCTCCGAAACGCTCATCACATCATAAAAAATCGACCAACAAGGTACATCATCGCTACCGTTCCAGATCCAGATCCTATTCACCCGTGGAAAGGGATGACATTCGATATGACCGATACTATAAAAAGCCCAAATCCTCAAAACATGGGAGGGATGAAGATCCAAACAAATCTAGAAGCAGGGACAAAATCCGAAGATGACGAACATGAGACTTAAGTATGGATTGAAACTTTTCTCTCTCCAAATTAAACTTTTTTGTAGTTAATGGTTAGATTTATAAGTGCACACAAAAGCGATTTGGGCCAATCTAAGCTCAATTATTTCAGTTTGTTGTGCATAAATATTTTTTAAACAAACACTAGAACTAGTATAATTACTTGGATTTTAAAGTTCTTAAAATACGTTGTTCCGCTATACAAGTTTGTTGGTGTATGTATACAATATATTTGTATTAATAAATAATTACTGTCTTGAAGTACATATACATTGTCTTGGTCAAAGGGGTCAAACTCTATTTGCTTAGATCTATTTTTTTGCTTTCGTATTGTGAGTATTATTGTTATTGTCATCAAACTCGTCTTCCGAGTCTTCTCCAGCCTTCATCACTCGCTCAGTGTAGGAGATTTCAGCAGCTTTTTTCTGAGACTTGTAACTCTCCTCAAACTCTTCGTGACGCTTCTTCCAGTAGGACTCATACCTTGCACCAAAATTTTGAGAGTTTGCTCGATCTGCTTTCGTCACTCCCACCTAAATATGTTAATCCAATACGAATTGTTGGAATGGATATGAAATCATTCTTGGTAATTATTTGATGGTTTAAAGAAAGGATGATACTAGTACTATATCTTCTTCTAACCATGTCCAAGTGAAGGAGGTACGGCATGTAGAAAATGACTGCAATCCGGTACCCTTCCTCCTCCTCCAAGGGATTGCCCTATACATAATTTCAATGGGTCAACAACTCGTAGGTAAATATTCAAGTACATGTAATACACAACTCCTGTACTATTAAAATTCGGAAACTTGTGTATTAAGCTTAAGCATGTGTCTTACATGAAGGGTCAGCGTTTTCAGGCTCCCCAATGCTTGGAGCTTTGGAATTTCGGTCATGTCAACAATGGAATTCCCATGCAAATAGAGTATTTTGAGATTTGGAAGTTGTGATAAGCTCTGTCATATGAAAAATGGCGCATTACAAGATATTTACTGTACTTAAAGCAAATAGATTACGTCCTCATCCAGCTTTGTGATTGTATTGAAAGAGATGTCCAACCAACAGAGTCCTAGTGGACCACCATCCAATATTTTGTACAGTACGTTAATTAGTCCATCCGTTTCGCTATTGAGGAAAAACCACACTCTCATAAATTCATCTCTCTTGCTCTGACGCTTACTAAACTTTCATGCAAACTTCCAGAATTATTTAGTGCATAAAATATATAATCATACGTTATAACGTTGTAGCTGAGTCGGATGGATGAGGTGCGATAACGTTCATCCTGAGTTTTGAATGGCGCTCGATAATTGCGTGCCTATATTAATTATATTATCATTCGACAATTATATGATGATTATATAAGCTAAATAATTAGATATGAATATTTACCGTTTGAGGTTGTTCTCCCTCCGTCACAATCTCTTCGATTTTATTAATCTAGATAAATATAAAAAATTTTAAACTAATTAAATTTAGTTCGTCCTTATGCCTTAAAGATATAAATTTGAATTTAAACCATGCAGAAGGAGTAGTCCAGGGGGGCAGCAGATGCAAAAACGTACCTATCTGACCCATATACACCCGCAAACCTGCAAGCAAGTCGTCACCCACCATGTAATAGCTTAGAGGGTCAGATTGATTGAGATTAAAATATCGTGGCGAGAAAGACCCACCGATGCTGATCGCCAATGACAAGAAACCCCATCCGTCGCTCATCAAAGTTGCGATAAGTTCGCTCAGGTTCGGCGTCTTCATCGTCGGCTGCGACCTTCCTTGAGTGACCACCCCTTAACCTCCGCTCGCTTTTGCCCTTGGTGCGCTTGCCCCCCATTTTGGTCGTCGTGCTCTCTTCTTCTTTGGCTTGTTGCATGGCTGCAGCTCTGGCAAAGTCGTCCGGTTTCATTCCAGCTTTGATGGCTCGTACCGTCGCCTCGATCAGAATATCCGGGATTGCTGGACGCTCAGGGGCGCCTCCTCCCTTCATTTGGGCATCCATTGCGGAGGTTGGGGATTAAATAGAATTGAGTTGATGACTCCACTGATGACTATCTTCTCAAGACTCCACGCTTAGGAAATTTGAATAATATATTCCTCTCTATAATTTTAGAACTTGTTGCGACAAAATGACAAAAATTGAGGACACTTAAAATAAGCTGCACTGACCCAAAAACTCTCAACCTTTCTGTTACTCTGAAACAATTTATTATGGACTAACGTTGTCATTGACAAACAAAAAAGCTAGGGGACTGAAGATTATAAGCAATATTCATAGGACTCTCTGCTGGAATGTTTAGCCGAGTTCGTCAGTCCGATGCGAAAGCCATTACTAGCGTGATAACATAGAATAACATGTTTCATTCATGAATGTGTGTATGTACGTGATTAGGATAATGTATGGACACATTGTGCGACTAAGAATGAACAGTTTTGCTGAAAGTAATGGGAAGGACGCATGAGCCTATTATTATGGTACATAAAGATGATTGGGAGGATGTCATGTGGAGAACAATTACTCAGAGAGAAAGTCTGGTTCTTGGCGTGCCAGGACACCATATCCCGTATCACTCAATCAAATTAGCCAAGCGAAATGTTATTTATTATATACAACAACATCGAACGACGTCGGACAACACACCAAGTCTGTAGTTTCTCTGCTGCATTGATGAATTATCTACATGACCGAGTTTATTTCACTTCATAGATCGATCAATAAGTAAATGTTCCTGCACGTGCAGTGATTTTTCGTTCCTTGCTTCATTCGGAAACAAAAGATGAATATTATTGGGAATAAAATACACGCTGTTGGCCAAATTTCGTATTGCGAGTTTTTTAAATAATACCCCAGACATCATTTTCCAATGAGACGACGCACTTTTTATATTATGTTAATACGTCTTTTTATATATATTTGGCTTATTACTACACATTAAAATAATCCAGCGAACGAGGACCAACAGAAGTAGTATTTATGCATTAGCAATATTATTATTATTATGATTGATTACATGTGCACAAATGTTTCTCATCTTGTAACATGTCGTCGTCGTACGTACGTACAAGTAAATTACATAATTATTCATTATTATTACATTAAAATAATTAACTTATTTTATGGCGATACGAATCACTGACTATTTCAGACTATAAAAATTGAGTTCTGGATACGCTGGATGGACTCAAAGAAGGTATAAATTACATTTATCCTAGTTATTTTCATAAATGACGAGGGACTGGGGACAAAGGAAGGAAAGAAGGGACTCTGTATGTACTAGTCTTAATATTGGCATATATATGTGTAAATGCGGATTGAGACGACAACGGTATTTGCAGTACAAACAAAGTAGCCACTACTCTCAAAATATTTGAACTGATGGCATTGAATGGAAGAATTTAATAAATTCATTGATATTATCTAGCTATCTTCATCTTCACTGGGACTCTTCCCTACAAAAATAAGACTAGACCTCGTCCATTCGCTGCTTGAATCCCCCCATCTCCTCGGTCCCTATCCTCACGGTCACGATCCAAGTCTCGATTCCATACTTCCAAATCTTCCAACTCCACAAAAGAGTCGGAATCTGAGTCGTCATCCTCCATGTCGTGGAGCTCATCATTGTTATCCTCAACATCAGTTTCGTTGCCGTCAACTTCATCGTAAAACTCTATCCCGTCACGAGTACCTCGATAAACCAATTGATTGGCTTGATCCCCACGAGGTTGACGAATATTTCGATTGTTGTAAATTAGATTATTGGCACCATTATTATTCGCGGCCCCCGCTGGATGGCGACGACGCTGATTATTGAGATCATCAAACTCACCCTCGCTGTCACTTGTATTCTGGTTGTGATCGGGATGGCGATCTAAGTGGGCTCGATTTTGTTGTCGTGGGGGTGGGGGAATGGGAACTTCTTGCTGTAGTAATTCTTCAGGGTTATCTTCTTCTGTGATGTCTTCCTTATAAAGAATTTCGTGACACTGTAAACAAGCACATTGTTATAGTTCATTAGTATATCACCATTTTAATTATTCTCTGGGTTCACATTTTTCATGACAATTTTTAAGCAAGACCGGAATGGATAATCAATCAGATCTGACGGTAGCTTACCATTGGGCAAGTGTTCTGTACGTATAACCACTTGCGAAGACACACAGCGTGGAAAAGATGGCCTATTATAATAAACATGAGATTGGTACTTTAATATTAGTGATAGCACATCGCATCGACAAGTATGGCAAGTAAGATTCTGCTCGTTGCATGCAAGTAAAATGAGAAACAAAGAAGGATGTACATATTTACCACAATTGGTCACTTTTGCCGACTCGAATCCTTCATAGCATATGGAACAGACGTCGTCATTACGAACTTTGAGTTGATCCTCCGTAGCATCTTTCAAGGACATGATTTTTTTGGAAGCTGTTTTTCTTTGACTATAAATTCTGAATCCCTTTTGAGCTTCGCACCATATATTAAAGTAAGCATGAATTGACATCCCAATAGCACGTATTGCACTGGTTGATTCAAAGAGGAAGATCCATACAGCGTTGAGAAATAGGAATATTCCGGTAATAAACTCGGCTGATTTTAGAAATACAAATAATTAGTAGCAACATACTTGATACACATAGGTATAAAAACAAAATTGAAAATTCCTTACCAATATTTGCAACGGTTTTCAAATAAAACACCATGTCTTCATGTGATATCTGGTCATACATTTTGTCGAAAAAATGCATCACGACACGAGGCAGAATTCGTCTAAAGAAGGATACAATTTTTTCTACGACGTCTGGGTATTGGACAAGTTGGGACAAGTAGACGACCATAGAGATTACAAGGGAAATGATGACTTTGATTTTAAACTCGATTGCCAGTGCTAACACTGCTAATGACCAGGTTGAAACTGAAGTCCATCGAAGCAATGAAACCGTTAAACAAAATGAAAGACACAAAAACACACAAGACAATGTTGCAGCCCTGGAAAAAGTAATAGTGACAACTCAAATTATACATACTCAATTTAAACTTCCAATCTTACCGAATTTGAACGGCCTGGAAGCTTCGAAATGCGTGTAGTAGCGGAGCAATCTAAATGTTAATCAAATAAATCGAATTATGTATGGGTCATAAATTAACGGGTGATATTTTTATTTGGACGATTACTAACCAATTGATGAAGAGCGTGAAATAAGGCTGAAACGTAATTTAATATATATATATATATTTCTGGTATGAAAATGGGCAGTTACTTACCAGTTCCAAGGAGTGCGACATTTTTTAAGAGTCTATCAAGTCGTTTTTCAGGATCTAGTGATGTCAATCCGGATTGCAGACTTAAAATGAAGAATAAGACGGTGGAAATAGATCCAAATCTATACATAGTGAATAAAATGACCAATTAAGTTAGTTTATAACAAATTAATAAAGTTTCATAGATATGCACTAAATTTTAGAATTGTATACCTACCTATTGAGGTCTACCTCATTATTGTTCCCAAAATAGAGCAGCCAAAGCAAGAAATCTCCAATTTGATGACAAACAGCTGCAACCTGCAGAAAAAAATATAATATAATACAAAGGATTATATTTTTTAAATTTATACATACTGTCACAGTCAATCCAACGATTCCCGTGAATGTCTCTGAAACGTCGTTATAAGATCATAAATAAATTCTAGGACACATACGAGAAATTTTATGGTACTTATTACGTATCCAGTTAAATGACTTACCCGTTCCATGAACCATTACATTTCGAATGATTAAACTCAATGGTTCATCACAGCAGCGGAAAAATGCATCGTAAGCAGCTCTGGTCATCCAGAAGAGACGAAAAAACGGTATTGATCCGCAATCTTCCAGATTCGACTTGAATCAAATGTGATAATCCATACTCATTTTGTACCCTCTTCGTTTCTCCCCAAGAAAGTATCAAAAAACTGTACAGCTTGGGTAGCGACTTGATCAGTGAGTAATGAAGTGAAATCACAAGTGGGACAAAAATCACAAGCGGTATATGTCCGAATCCAGTCACAAAAAAGAGGGAGAGCAGAACTGGGTCCAATAATGCATGCATCCGATTTTCGGGGGACATATGCATGCTTGACCACGATTTGCAGGCAAAAAAATACTGCCGCCGAGAACAGTCCGAAAAGTAAGGTTCACAGATAAGCATAATATATCACTAAGATTGGTGCTTAGTAGATAAGATGGGATCACGTATGACAGATATAGCGTTGTGAAGGACAAGAGGTAAGAGTAGAGCTTTATTAAATTATCAGTCGCCAGCATGAACATAATAACTGCCTGCAAAGAACACTGTAACATAAAACCAGTCATTATTATTAGTACATGACTCGTGGACCTAAAATTCTAAAGGTAGTGGTCAATGACACATTTTCTTTATATTTATTTATGCTTACGGACAACTGAGCCGAGAATTTGTCCTGCAAACATGAAATCGTCAGCAATCCCCTCCGTAAATTTTGACAAGTCCTCCATCCGACTGATGACATTTGTCCCGACTCAGTCCCTGTTGAAACATCAGGATCAACAGACGTCACGTTTCGGACGAGCTCTAGCCCCCATAACCACGACTCTTTCACAAACTCTGAAGTAGAAGCGAGAGGGGATTCACCAGAAAATCCTGATGAAAAGGGTCCTGTTGGGTCCTTTGAGTTCAATATCACCTGTGTCCGTGGTCACGGTTTTATGAGATTCTGTGACCCCACCATATTGGAATGGACGTCCACCAAACCCAAAACTGGTACGGAAGATTTCGTCAACTAGTAAAAGTGGAGGCACTCGAAGAAACGATTCACATGCCAGGAAGAGCTTATTTCGAATGGACATTTTGCACATTAGCACAAAACATTAGCACTTTTAAAATTGGCTAAAGTTATCTTTCCTCAAGTATCCTCAATCTTCATAACGATTGATAAGAGAACACCAACAACCTCCTGGGACCCTGCAATTCGACAATTCAAAAATCATTAGTTATTATGAAAATTCATGTACAAATTAAAAAACAAATTATAATAAATATTACTATTATCATGTACCCCTCCTACTCCCCCCATTCACTTTATAGTCACTTCATTTGAAACATTTATGCAGTCAGAGTTTATCAACAATGAGTTAGGGTCCAAGTTTTGAAAGATGGAAATTAAATTATTGTTACACATATGTAACAATGGACTTCAATGGAGACAACCGTCTCTAAGAAACTAACAATCAGTTGTACATTATACCTGTGCAGTTGTGCACATGTTATTTTTAAGACAAGCAGCATGTAAGAAATTCTGGCCGACATAATTATATTTTAAGACAAAATGGGTCCCACACGAATCCATACTCAACAACGCGTCCTAAATACAATATTATTTTGATATGATACAACAAGTAGTAAGTATTAGTATTGAAGGGTATACAACAATGTGAAGTGAAGAGTGGAAGGTCAACTGGCCAAGAACACGTTCGACCGTACTCTTGCATACGCATTTACGTTGGTTTGCCTGTAATAATGAATTCTACTAAATAGTGAACCTTTGTTAATGTCAAATAATGCTTAGATGCCTTATTGCTAGTGCATGGATTGTGCCTCACATTGACTTTTTGAGATCTATGTTATCCCAATAAAAGCATTACGAAATGACACATGGTCAAGTTCACCCAATTTCGATAGAGAGAGATACATGGTGCATCATATTTGCACTCAATTCATTCTTAATATATAAGAAGCAAGACAAGAGGAAAACAAGTTTGGGTTAAAAATCGACTCCCGTACTGCATGCATG